AAATAAATAAATAAATAAAAATAAGTATGGCTGTTACCTATTTGACACTTTCTAATGGTTTTTTAAAATAGACACAAGATTGTCAAATGTACCATGTAATCACTTTTGTCACTTAGATTCATCACTCCTATGGATGTTATCCGTAATACATATTTACCCTTACATTCGGCCCTCCTGGAGTTTTGTGCAAATCCTTTTACCTAACTAAACAACATTCCAGCGAGATGGTTGCCAATGAAAGGTAACTAACTGCCAGGTATTATGCTGTCTTGTTTGGATCAGTTGGTAATTATTATTAGAACTCAAACAACTAATACATGGTTTTGAACTGTTTGTGTTTAATTAAACTAATAAGATATCTTTAAAAATAGACATTGCAAGGAATTACTAATGAAAGAAAAACTTATAAAAGAAGCCTCATTTGCACTTCTCTCCAACTAGACTTAATAACTTCTCTTTTCAGAATGTTATTTCTAAGAAAGATATCTTAATTGTATTTCCAATTATGAGACATACTATCTAAAAACAATGGATACTTCTGATCTAACATCTGTGGCTAGCAGTGATACTTTTTATTATCAGGCACTATTGCTAGATGTTTTACATGAATCAAGAATCACTTCACATGATCCTCTAAATTGAATAAGGTTATCCCAGTTTACAAATGAACCAGAGACATAAGGAAGTGTAGTGATTCGCCCCTGGTCACATACCTGGTACTTAAAGGTAGATTTCAAATCTGGGCAGTTATGACTCCAGAGGCCGTTCTCTTATCCACTCTGTATATTACCTTGCAAAACAGAAGATCAATTGGATTCATGACATTGTATAATTTCAAAACTATATTCTGCCCACATTAATTTCAGTGCTATCATCGTGATCATAGAATAATAAAGTGATTTTCTCTATACTAAGAGTAATTTCTATAAATTGTTATTGCTTAAGTGTAAAACTGTAATTTTACATAAACATCAGATAAGGTGGAATAAAAGATAAGCTATTTCAATAAAGTAGACTTAGGAATCAAAATTACTAAGGATAAAGAGGGACATTCAGCTGGGCACTGTAGCTCATGCCTATAATCCTAGCACTGTAGGAGGCCAGAGGAGAAGAATCTTTTGAGGCTAGTAGTTCAAGACCAGCAAGACCTTATCTCTACAAAAGAGAAAAATTAGTCAGGTATGGTGGCACATGCCTGTAACCCCACTACTCAGGAGGTCTAGGCAGGAGGGTCTCTTGAGCCCAGGAGTTTGAGGTTGCAGTGAGCTTTAATAACATGTTGCACTCAAGCCT